CTAGTGAATTTAGGGGTCAAGGTCATATTTCAGCATGTCAAATCATTAGACACATGTGCAGATGTGTCTAATGTTAAGATACAAAGGCCATAGCGCAATACTTGATTAAAAAATAAAAGATTTTTTTACTGACAAAATATAGGTATTAAGTGTAAAACATAGCTGTATTAAACTTTGAAATGCAGGTACAGTATCTTTTTCTTAAATACTATCTTTTCAATTAAGCATTTACAATTTCTAAAGCATAATCATGTCCTTATAATATGCTCAAATTGTTTCACAAAGCTTACATCTATCTTGCTAAAGTTCATGACCTGAATCATTTCATAAATATCTCTGAAAATTATGACCTTTAGACTTACTCCCAGCTATGGACCATTGTGGTATTTCGTAGCGGAACATTTAGCCACACCTTTTCCATTCATAGCTAGGTCAACTGCTCACAAACAGTATCACAAACAAGAGCTGTCAGTAGGACAGCATGCTCGACTATTCTAAGTGCTTGATAGTAAAAGAGCCTTGATAATGTTAAATTTTTTAAGTTCACAAAAGGGCTCATTTTTTTTTATAAATTCACGTTATAGGCCTTAGAAAGAGTCTTATTATACAGTATTGGCTTGACTATTCGGAGGGTAATGTCACAAGGGTGTATAATAATACTAATTACCTATGAATACATAAATTTGACAGAAAAGGTACAAAGGCTTGTTATTAAGATGTTTTATCAAGTAAATCACTGCTTAATAATTATGAATGCATAAAATTGTCCCAAAAAAGGCACAAACCCTTCAGTAGTTATTGAGATAACAGCTTACAAGCAAAACTTTACCATGAATTTCTAAGTTGAAAAAGGGGAGAAAAATCAGCCTAAATGCAAGATAGAATTATGGATCTTTGTCAGTGACCTACAATTATGACCCTAAATGCATATGTGAAGTTTTAAATTAATATCTTTAATAGTTATTGAGATATATAAAACTTGCATGTAAACATTAATCAAGAGACTAAGTAGAAAAGGGGATATGAATCAGCCTTAATGCAATACAGTTATGGAACTTGGTCAGTGACATACAATTATGAACCTCCAATTATGACTCTAAGTGCATGGGTTAAGTTTCAAGTAAATATCTTTGAAGACCTTTAACCTTTAACGAAAATTTCAAAGGGGCAAATAATTCTGCAAATATTGCAGGCAGAGTTATGCAATTTTGCAAACTGATGTACATTGTTACTATAAAAAAGTATTTTAAATTTCAATTGAATATCTCAAGCAATAATTGAGATATTTGACTTTACAAAAAAAACTTTAACCAAAATTTCTAAGTTCCAAAGGGGCATAATTCTGTCAATATTGTTGGCAGAGTTATCCAACTTGTCAATCTGATGAACCTTTTTACTATATATAAGTATTGTAAGTTTCAATTGAATATCTAAAGCAATAATTGAGATATTTGACATTACAAAAAACTTTAACCAAAATTTCTAAGTTAAAAAGGGGCATAATTCTGTCAATATTGAAGGCAGAGTTATCCAATTTGTCAATCTGATGTACCTTATTACTATAAATAAGTATTGTAAGTTTCAATTGAATATCTCAAGCAATAATTGAGATATTTGACTTAACAAAACACTTTAACCAAAATTTCTAAGTTAAAAAGGGGCATAATTCTGTCAATATTGTAGGCAGAGTTATCCAACTTGTCAATCTGATGTACCTTGTTACTATAAATAAGTATTGTAAGTTTCAATTGAATATCTCAAGTAATAATTGAGATATTTGACTTTACAAAAAACTTTAACCAACGCAGGTCTCATATTCTTCGAATAGTCGAGCTAACAAAACCATGTGTTCTTTTGTGCAAACCAGGTCATACAGTGACTATGTATTATCCCAGTGTGGCAATTGGATAACAAGTTAGCCAATTTACATAAAACTGTAAACACTGGAAAGGGCCATTGAATATTTTACATAAAAAAATACAAGTATTACAAATTCCAATTTAAGTTGTTTCCTTTCACACAAAATGATTTTGACCCCAGGGCTATAATTTGAACAATCTTGGTAGAGGTCCACTACACAATGTTCTTGACAAATATCTAACCTCTTGCCTATTCCGAGAAGAATTTTTTTAAAGCTTTTATTATATTTTGTTTGTTTGATTTGGTTTTACGTCACACTGACACAGTATAGGTCATTTGGCGACGTTCCAGCTTAATTGGTTGAGGAAGACCTCAGGTGCCCTCTCTTGCATTATTTCAGGCATGAACGGGCACCTTAAGCTAGCTGGATAGCTACCTCACATGAAAGAATCCAAAGTCCCTGTCGGGATTCGAACCCAAAGCTGTTAGGGGCAAGTGGTTTGAAGTAAGTTTTTATTATATACACATAAGGAAAACCTATGACCCGCGGGACGGGGCCAATTTTAACACTATGGGCAAAAGTTTTTTAAGTTAGTGAAAATCAATCACTCCCTAGGACAGGGCCAATTTTGGCCCAAGGGCTACAATTTGAACAGCCTTGGTAGAGGTCCACTGCACTATGTTTCATGTTAAATATCTAACCTCAAGCCTTTGTTACTTCAGAGAAGAAGATTTTTTAAGAATTTACTATATACATATATAGAAAACCTATGACCACCATACCCTCCACCCCCCGGGTTGGGGCCAATTTCGACTGTAGAGACAAAATATTTGAACAACTTAGGTAGAGAACCTATAGATGATATCATATATCAAAGCTCTAAGCCTTGTAACTCCACAAAAGGAGATTTCTTAAGTTTTTACTTGTGCATAGTGAAAATCAATGACTCCCTAGGGCAGGGCCAATCTTGACCCAAAGGCTATAATTTGAATAATCTTGGTAGAGGTCTACTACACAATGTTTCATGCCAAAATATCTGACCTCTAGCCTTGGTCGATTCAGAGAAGAAGATTTTTTTAAGATTTTACTATATACATATATATGGAAAATCTATGACCTCCCGGGGCGGGGCCAATTTGACACTAGAGGTAAAATTTGAACAATTTTGGTAGAGACCTATATATGATATCATATACCAAATATCAAAGCTCTAACCCTAGTACCTTCAGATAAGAAGATGTTTAAGTTTTTACTTTATGTACATAGTGAAAATCAATGACCCCCGGGGTGGGGCCAATTTTGACCCCAGGGCTATAATTTGAACAATCTTGGTAGAAGTCTAACTAGACAGTGTCTTATGCAAAATATCCAAGTTCTAAAGCCATGTGGGCCTTTACAAGAAGATTTTTTATTTTTAAATTTTACTCTTATCATTTCCTTTTGGTTGCCATGGCAACCAGATTTCTGTGTGGGAAAACAACTTTAGAAGCCCTTTGACCAAGAATCAATCCTGCAAAGTTTTGGTTGAAATTGGACAAGTGGTTTTTTTCACAAGAAAATTATTTAAATTCACTATATAATCTAATAATAATGCATGCACGCACGCACACACACGCACACACAACACAACACACAGGTGACATTGCTATAATGCCATTGCAGATACTGGGGTTGCATAAAAAGATTTTACGGCACAAAAAACTTAATAAAGAAATCTGGACAAGGTTGCTGGCACAGCTCTACATGTACTCTGTGCAGACTGCCCTCTACCCATATTTTAAGTTTCATAAATATATTTTCAGTACTTATTGAGTAATTACAAAAAAATAATACTTATAAATCTGCCTGTTTTAAGTATATTTTGTTGCCATAGTAAACAAAGTTTTCATCATAGGAAGAAAATGAAAATATAATCTTCATAAAGTCATCTATTGATATTTCAAGTTTCATCAAAATATTATCAGTACTTTAGGTGTAATCACGGGATCAAATTTTTGTGGACGGACTGACCAATAGACGATCAGACAGACATACTGACATTTGGATATTTAGGTGGCTTAACTCTATTGTTCTCCCTATTATTCCTTTAGCCAAATAAGAGGAAAGACATGCCATGTAAAAGCTTAAGGAAATTATTTTATAGAAGAAAAAGTACAATCACCTATTGTTTTGTAGCCATCTAAGTACCTAAATATATGCACAGACAGAAGGCAAACCTAAAGTCTCTAAAGGTACTAATTATAACCACCTAAGTAGCCAGGGTCATTCAACAATGTTCCGTGCCAAATATTCAAGCTCTAGAATTTGTGGTTTCATAGGAGATTCAAAGTTTTTAATAAATACATAGAAGGATGAACCATGACCATGGGATGTGGTTAAATTTGACATTCGAGTTATAATTTAAACAAAATTGGTAAAGGTCCACCAGACAATTTTCATGCCAAATATCTTAGCTAAAGCCTTTGTGTTTTTTGAAAATCATATAATTATGACTGTGACCTTGATGTATGAAAGTTCAAACATCGCACTCTGAACATTGTCTGATTAACCCTTTCCTTCATGAGCATATTGTGAAAAATGGCCATTTTCATAGAAAAACCTCCTATTACAAGTTCAAACTGCTATGAAACTATGAAAAATACTTCATACTGATGAAACTTGGCATAAATGTTGACTGGACCATAGCCTCTGTAACAGCATGCTTAATCTTAAATTTCCTGTAAAATTGGCAACAGGGGGACATCCAAAAATTGCAAAAAACTCACTATTTTGCATTGTTTTTTTCCATCAAAACTGTTTTTAAAGTGCTGCAACTTCTCAATGGATTGAGATAGAGTGAAAGGCTTTTTAATGTTGGTTACACGTTACCTTACAATCGACCTGAGGCCATTTTTAGCCTGTCACATGTCCAAATTTTCTTGGCTATGAGGGGGACCACTGCCCCTTCAAACCCCCAAACAGAAGCGGGCACATCCCCTTCTGGCAACCCCTTTAAAGTATCATCAGCAGTGCCAAAAAAGTGATAACTTTTTTAACAACATTTCTCAAACGAAACACAGTGTTTAGGGCCTAAATAGGACATTTTTTCTCTGTTTGAGGCCTCAAAAAGGGGGGAGGGGGTTTGAAAAGCCGTCAAAACACGTCTTATATGAGGTAAAGGGTTAAAGGTTAACATTTTTGCCAAGTAACTTCGATTTCCTTCCCTTAGTAGTGGACATGGCAAATAACATTTTAGCTGAAATATATTCAGGTGTATGAAAAATTATGATCAACATAACAGTTTTTGGATGGCAGCAGCAACTACAACTTCAATGGCAACAGCAAAACTTACAGCTACAAATTACATCTTTGATTCCTACTTTTTACTCATGCATTAAAACTTTCTTTCAATCTTTATTGAAGTTTGTAACCAATGTGGTCATAATATAACGATAAAAGAGTTTACTGACTTAGCTATCAACAAATAAAAATTACTTCTTGCATTTATATGAGCTACCAAGTCCTCTATGGCCAACATCTACAGGTTTACGAGTAGACTTCCAGTAACGCTGGAATGTTTGCTTCATATTGAAACAGGAACTTATCATAGGCTTCACTATCAGATACTTGACTGAAAAAAAGAACATCTTTAAGATAAACAAATATGTTCTCCACCCTCCCTAATTCTTGTCTGTAACCAATTTGTCAAAACAATTTACCCATTCATTCAGTCAAATAAAACCTGTAAACAACATTATATGACATCACAAAGTAATAATCTTTCACAGAAACAAGATTGCATTTGTGAAAAAATGCTATGCCACAGCATTAATACACTAAGTAGTAGGAACAGAAGTAGATTTTTTTTCTATAAAATTGAACTTTGTCATAGTGCAGTTTTTGTCAAGTGAATTTGGAGTCAAGGACATATTTTCAGCATTTCAAATGAAAGTCAATGTACAAGTGTGTCTTACGTTATGATACAAAGGAAAAAGTATTACAAGAAATTATCATAGAATTGCAAGCAATACAGGAGTCCCCCAGGAACATTCTGAAGGGCCATGGGCAATTCAATTATGCCACTGAATGAATGAATGACATGAATGAATTTAGATCTTTTGAGTTCTTAGTTTGTCTCTATCATAGTAAAGTATTAAGTTTCCCTGCCTAGTAAGGAAATTATGTTTATACAACAGATAATTGGAAGATCCAATTTTCTCAAGATGAACATGTATAACTAATGTTTCAACTTTTCTGTATTTTAATTGGAAAAGGTCCGAGTTCTTAAAAAGTGATCTCAGGAAACAGTTTTTAGGAACAGAAGGAAAGACAGATGAACAAACCATCTGAGGATTAATCTTTAAACATCCTTGGTTGTAATCAGAATACAATATTTTTCAAAGCAAATTTCTTAAAATAAAAAGAAGACATAACTCTTTAAAACAAGAACTGGTTGAACAGGGTGATGCTCCTCGAATAGGTTTTGGACACAGGTAAGTATACCTCATGTAGTGTCAGAGCTATGTCACAGACAAAGTTCAAAGTGTTACAAGAGGGCCATGATGGCCCTGAGGTCGCTCACCTGTATTTAGCCCCCCCAACCCCCACCCCAACATTGCAGGGCCAATTTAACCCAAGGGCTTTTATTTGCACAAACTTGGTAGACACCCATAAGAAGATGTTTCATGCTAAACATCTAAGCTCTAGCTCATTGGGCTTTTTAACCCATTACTTCATATACACGCCTTTTAACGCCTCTTGTCTCAAATGGTGAAAAAATGCCTTATTTAGACCCCCAACACTTGTTTTTGTTTGAGAAATGTTGTTAAAAAAAGTGACCACTTTTTTCGGCGCGGCCCCCCAACCAAAAGATACATCAGGGGGTTGCCAGAAGGGGGATGTGCCCCCTCTGTTTGGGGGGTTTGAAGGGGGCGGAGTCCCCCTCATCGCCAAGAAAATTTTGGACTTGTGAGAGGCTATAAATGACCTCAGATTGATCATAAGGTAACGTGTAACCAACGCTGAAAAGCATTTGACTCTACCTCAATCCATTGAGAAGTTGCAGCACTTTGAAATCAATTATGATGGAAAAAATCAACGCAAAATAGTGATTTTTGGCAATTTTGAGATGTCCCCTCGTTGCCATGGTAACAGAAAATTTAAGCCTGAGCATGTTGTTGCAAGGGCAATGGTCCAGTCAACATGTGTGCCAAGTTTGATTAGTGTTGAAGCAGTTTTTATAGTATTATAGCAATTTGAACTTGTAACGGGAGACTTTTCAATGAAAACAGCCATTTTTCACAAAATGCTCATGAAGTAATGGGTTAAAAGAAGATTTTTTTAAAGTTTTTACTATACACATATAGTTAAAAACAATGACGCCCCTGGGGCCGAGCCAGTTTTGACCCCAGGGCTTTTATTTGAACAAACTTTGTAGACACTTACTAGAAGATGTTTCATGCTTAATATCTAAACTCTAGCTATTTGGGTTTTTTCAAAGAAGATTTTAAGTTTTTGCTATACACATATAAAGAAAATCAATGACCCCCGGGGCCGGGCCAATTTTGACCCCAGGTCTTTTATTTGAACAAACTTTGTAGACACTCACTAAAAGATGTTTCATGCTTAATATCTTAACTCTATCTATTTGGACTTTTTCAAAGAAGATTTTTTAAGTTTTTGCTATACACATATAAGGAAAATCAATGACCCCCCGGGGCCGGGCCAATTTTGACCCCAGGGCTTTTATTTGAACAAACTTAGTAGACACCTCTTAGAACATGTTTAATGCTCAATATCTTAGCCATAGCTCTTTGAGTTCTTTAAAAGAAGATTTTTTAAGTTTTTACTATATGCATATAGGGAAAATCAATGACCCCCCGGGGCCGGGCCAATTTTGACCCAGGGCTTTTATTTGAACAAACTTGGTAGACACCAATTAGAACATGTTTCATGCTAAATATCTTAGCTCTAGCTCTTTAGGTTCTTTAAAATGAAGATTTTTTAAGTTTTTACTATATGCATATAGGGAAAATCAATGACCCCCCGGGGCGGGGCCAATTTTGACCCCAGGGCTTTTATTTGAACAAACTTGGTAGACACTCACTAGAAGATGTTTCATGCCAAATATCTAAGCTCTAGCTCTTATGGTTTTTCAAAAGAAGATATTTAAAGTTTTTCCTTTCGGTTGCCATGGCAACCAGAGTTCTGCATGGAATTAAATTTTTTTGAACAATTTTTTAAAGGTGACCACCAAAGGAACATTCCTGTGAAGTTTGGATGAAATTGGCTTAGTGGTTTATGAGATGTCATTTAAAAGTAAAAGTTTACGGACGGACGACGGACGGACGGACGACGGACGGACGGACGACGGACGGACGCCGGACGAAAAGCGATCACAAAAGCTCACCCTGTCACTTTGTGACAGGTGAGCTAAAAATGAAAAAAGGGCAATAGCTATAACCAAAACTAAGCAAGGCAGAGTTATGGTTCTTTTGCACTGCACTTTTATTTAATGAGACAATCTTCCCTACAAAAGTTACATGTTGATACCTCTTATGGTTTCAGAGTTATGCCCCTGACAAAGTTCGAAGAAGTGTAAAATGAACAAAGGGCAATAACTACAAAATTAGGCAAGACAGAGTTCTGGTTCTTTTTGCACTGCACTTCTACCCAATGAGACCTATCTACCTACAAAGTTTCATGTTTATATCTCTTATAGTTTTAGAGTTATGTCCTAGACAAAGTTCAAAGCGTAAAAATGAACAAAGGGCAATAACTACAAAATTAGGTAAGACAGAGTTATGGTTCTTTTGCACTGCACTTCTACTCCATGAGATCTAATATACCTACAAAATTTCATGTTGATATCTCTTACAGTTTTAGAGTTATAACCCATACAAAATTCAAAGTGTAAAAATGAACAAAGGGCAATAACTCCAAAATTAGGCAAGACAGAGTTATGTTTTTTTTACACTGCACTTTTACTCAATGAGATCTATTCACCTTCAAAATTTCATGTTGATATCTCTTACAGTTTTAGAATTATAACCCATATAAAGTTCAAAGTGTAAAAATGAACAAAGGGCAATAACTCCAAAATTAGGCAAGACAGAGTTATGGGGTTTTTTTTACTGTGTTTCTACCCAATGAGATCTATCTACTTACAAAGTTTTCATGTTGATAACATCTTGTTGGTAAATAGTTAAGTCTTGGACAAGAAAAGCGGACAGACATTGCCATTTAAATGAACTATGGGGCCCATTTCTACGTTTTAATAGAGGGCCATGGTCCCTTATTCTATTGTTACGAAATGAACTTTATTGTTCTCTTTTGTTCTGTATGCTGTTACATGGCCCACTACTTCTCTTAAATAGCCCAGACGGATGGACGGACATGCTCAAAGAATGGTACTTAGGTGGCTAGTCCTTTGTTCTCTCTATTGTTCTTTTTAGCCACATAAGGGAAAAAGTAACTTTTCTAGCATAAGAGCTTACTGAATGAATAGCATCAAAGGAAATTTACTGTTACCTATTGATCCCATAGCCACCTAAGTATCTACGGATAACTGGACAGACAAAGCTGCAACTATATGCTTACCCTTCGGGAGCATAAAAATGTATCATGCTTAATACCTTGGTTTTTTAAAAAGAATTTTTGTTTTTTTTTTTACTATATACATATAAGGAAAATCAATGACCCACTGGGCAGGGCCAATTTTTTTTTAAAAAACTAGACACTCACCAAAAGATGTTTCATGCCTAAAATCTAAGCTCCAGCTCTTTGGGATTTTTCTTAAAGAAGATTATTAAAGTTTTTTTTCTTTTGGTTGCCATATGGCAACCAGAGTTCTGCATGGAATTTATTTTTTTCAAACAACTTTTAAAGCTGCCAACAAAAGGAACTATTCTGTGATGTAAAATTGGCTTACTGGTAATTTTAGTAACAATGACCTTGACTTTTAACTCAGGGGTCAAAAAAAGACAATCCCAACCAAGGTTTCATGTAAGGTTGCTATATACTAAGTTTGATTCCAATAACTCATTCCAAACTCTAGTTATTGGTCCAGAAACCATGAAGTGGACCAACGGACCAGGTGGCCCGAAAAGCTGACTCCTATATATACACCCCTTAACTTCTAAAAACTTACAAATGATTTGTCCTATTGGTCTATGTGAAAGGCCGGTGATGGGAAACTTTTCTAGTTCCTGTAGCGCTCTTTAAGTCTAGAGGTAGCAGAAAACTAAATCCTACGTGCCTGACACAAGCATCATTGCATCATTAGGCTATCATGTACATAGAAATCCAACTGGTATCCCTGTTACAAAACAAGTAAAGCAATAAATCAACCATGAAATAAACAAAGATGAAAAAAAAATCTGAACAATATTGTACTTTCATTTGTTATTACTTTGAAAACATACAAAGTAGCAATTACTAAAGATCCATGATGTTTTAATTTTTTTTTTTAGTTTTTACTATATGTGCATATGTTAAATTATATAAGTAAGGAGACAGAATACAAAAACAGATGTATTGGAACAGATATTTCATTAGTTATAGTTATGATAGCTATTACAAGTTATGATAACTGATTACACGAAATGTTTTAACTATCTATTTCACATTTCTTACTGTACTCATAATAATTGGCCTGATAAACTAACTGTACAAAAAAAATTTGGTTCCTTTCAATGAGTTTTCAAAACCAACTGTTCCCTGCTCATTGGTAATTATTTACTGGTATGGTGAAAAACGGTTTTATTTAATGAACAAGAAGCGCTGCAATGCGACGAAAACCAGGTTTTCAATGCATAAGTTTTGATGTGACAGCAATCAATAGGTCAAAGTGCACTGAAGTTATTGAGTAGTAGAAGCTGAAAATTCTATTGTAAGCAAATGACCTTACTTGCTTCCAGATATCTAAGTGGCAATCCAAAGCTGCCACTCAGCAAGTTTGGGTGTCAAAAAGGTCAAAGCAAACTCAAGTTATAACATGAAAACTTAATACATTAACCTTGATCACAGACACCTGGGTAGCAATCCCAAGCTGCCTTTTGATATAAGCTACCCATACATCAAGTTTGATGTCAATAGGCCAAAGCAAACTCAAGTTATTGAGCAGAAACTGAATTTCTATTTTTAGAAAAGTGACTTTTGACCTTGATCACAGGCATCTGGTAGCAAACCCCAAGCTGCCTCTTGATATAAAGCTATCCATACACCAAGTTGGTGTCAATAGGCCAAAGCAAACTCAAGTTATTGAGCAGACACTGAATTTCTATTTTTAGTAACAGTGACCTTGACCTTGATAACAGACACCTGGGTAGCAATCCCAAGCTGCCTCTTGATATAGGCTATCCATACACCAAGTTTGGTGTCAACAAGCCAAAGCAAACTCAAGTTATTGAGCAGAAACTGAATTTCTATTTTTAGTAACAGTGACATTGACCTTGATCACAGACACCTGGGTAGCAATCCCAAGCTGCCTCTTGATATAAGCTATCCATACACCAAGTTTGGTGTCAATAGGCCAAAGCAAACTCAAGTTATTGAGCAGAAACTGAATTTCTATTTTTAGTAACAATGACCGTGAACTTGATCACAGATATCTGGGTAGCAATCCCAAGCTGCCTCTTGAATATAAGCTATCCATACACCAAGTTTGGTGTCAATAGGCCAAAGCAAACTCAAGTTATTGAGCGGAAACTGAATTTCTATTTTTAGAAACAGTGACCTTGACCTTGATCACAGGACACCTGGGCAGCAATCCCAAGCTGCCTCCTGATATAGGCTATCCATACACCAAGTTTGGTGTTGTCAAATAGCAAAAGCAAACTATAGTTATTGAGCGGAAAAACAAAAAAAGTTGACGCCCACCCGCCCGCCTGCCCACCCGCCAGCCCGCCCGCCAACTTCGGCATTACAATAACCCGGTTTTCGTTGAAAACATGGTTAACAACTAGAACTATTGGTAAATGAAATTCATACCCCACCAATGTCCTTGACAGAAGACGACTTGGAAAGGTGGTTAAGGGAATTACTTTAGTGGCACAAATACATATACATAAAAAGAAATTATACTCTGGTGAAAAAAAGACAAATTGTACAGATAATAGTATAAATATATATTGTCAAATCATGTTCGAAAACAGTTAAAAACAAGATATGTTTGTAAAACATGTATGCCCCCTATCGGCAGCCAATTAGTCATGTGATCAGGTTATTATGCAGGACTTCTGACCCAGTGAACAAACAATTGATAATAAGGGTTATCTAGTATCTACTGGTCATGACTAGTCACAGGGCAATAATTATTGTGACCCCATAGGTTGTGTGCAGCAATTTAAGTTATTACAAATCTTACCAAATAATATATGCATAAATTGTATGAATCATGTAGGCCTCATTAATGACAGCCAAGTTGTTATATATTACATAAGACCTTCAAATGTGTATACCAAAAGCATTTTTAGTTTTAATATAAAAAATATCAACCAAGGCAACTTGAGTTGTTGAGTTATTGGTCAGAAACCATCTTTAAGTACAAGGGTCAATATGACACTGACCCCTTGACCCGAAAAATCAATAGGGGTCATCTCCTGGTCATGACCAATCATCATACCAAGTTTGAAGTTCCTAGGCCTAAGCGTTCTTTACTTATTGATCGGAAACCGTTTTTACCTACAAGGTCAATGTGACCTTGACCTTTGACCCCTTGACCCCAAAATCAATAGGGTCATCTGCTGGTCATGACCAATCATCATACAAGTTTGACGTTCCTAGGCCTAAGCGTTTTTTAATTATTGATCGGGAAACAGTTTTTACCTACAAGGTCAATGTGACCTTGACCTTTGACCCCTTGACCCCAAAATCAATAGGGGTCATCTGCTGGTCATGACCAATCACCATATCAAGTTTTGAAGTTCCTAGGCCTAAGCATTCTTTAGTTATTGATCGGACACCGTTTTTACCTACAAGGTCAATGTTGACCTTGACCTTTGACCCCTTGACCCTAAAATCAATAGGGGTCATCTGCTGGACATAACCAATCACCATAGCAAGTTTGAAGTTTCTAGGCCTAAGCGTTCTTTAGTTATTGAGCGGAAACTGTTTTTACCTACAAGGTCAATGTGACCTTGTCCTATGACCCTTGACCCCAAAATCAATAGGGGTCATCTGCTGGTCATGACCAATCACCATACCAAGTTTAAAGTTCCTAGGCCTAAGCGTTCTTTAGTTATTGATCGGAAACCGTTTTTACCTACAAGGTCAATGTGACCTTTACCTTTGACCCCTTAACCCCAAAGTCAATAGGGGTCATCTGCTGGTCATGAATAATCACCATACCGAGTTTGAAGTTTCTACGCCTTAGGGTTCTTTAGTTATTGATTGGAAACCGTTTTAACCTACAAGGTCATTGTGACCTTGACCTTTGACCCCTTGAGTGACCCCAAAATAAATAGGGGTCATCTGCTGGTCATGACCAATCACCATACCAAGTTTGAAGTTCCTAGGCCTAAGCGTTCTTTAGTTATTGATCGGAAACTGTTTTTACTCTACAAGGTCAATGTGACCTTGACCTTTGACCCTTGACCCCAAAATCAATAGGGGTCATCTGCTGGTCATGACCAATCACCATACCAAGTTGAAGTTCCTAGGCCTAAGCCTTCTTTAGTTATAAAAAGTCAATGCCTAAGCGTTCTTTAGTTATTGATCGGAAACTGTTTTTACCTACAAGGTCAATGTGACCTTGACTTTGACCCCTTGACCCCAAAATCAATAGGGATCATCTACTGGTCATGACCAATCACCATACAAAGTTTGAAGTTCCTAGGCCTAAGCGTTCTTGAGTTATTGATCGGAAACCGTTTTTACTTACAAGGTCAATGTGACCTTGACCTTTTACCCATGACCCCAAAATCAATAGGGGTCATCTACTGGTCATGGCCAATCACCATACCAAGTTTGAAGTTCCTAGGCCTTAGGGTTCTTTAGTTATCACTCGGAAACCAATTGGTCTACAGACCCACGGACCAACAGACAGACAAATGCAAAGCAATATACCCCCTCTTCTTTGAAGTGGGGGCATAATAAAAATGGACTTAACTTTGTCAAAATACAATACAAAGTTATCCACCCTCCACTTTTTTTAGTTATGAAACTTGACCTGCATATCTTACTTGCTACACTTCATATATATTTGAAGTTTCAAATGACTATCTGTTCTAGTTTTAGAAATATTCAAGTACATGTTATAATTTCAGAACATTTTCTAAGTCAATTTTTGACATTCAAGTGTGGCATTGACCTTAAGCTGGCACAAGGGTAAGATGGGTTCTGCACAATGCCCAGCTGGGGTGAAAATTTGAGTCAAGTTTGAAGAAAATTCTTTCCATTTAGTAGAATTTATATAGAGCAGACACAACATATTAAAGACTTAAAAAGGGGCATAACTTTGTAAAAATGCAATACAGAGTTATGTAACTTGACCTGCATATTTTACTTGTGACACATCATATAGTTTAAGCAAGTACATGTACCTTCTCTAGTTTCAGAAATATTTAAGTACATGTTAAAATTTAAGAACATTTTCTAAGTCAATTTTTGACCTTCAAGTGTGACCTTGACCTTAAACCAGCACAAAGGTAACATGGGTTCTGCTGTCATAACCTTGTTGAGTGTGAAATTTGAGTAAAGTTTAAAGAAAATTCTCCCATTTAGTATAGGATTATTAACTTTGTCAAAATGCAATACAGAGTTTCATGAAAACTTGACCTGTATATCTTAATTGTAACACTTCATATATATTTTAAGTTTCAAGCAAATACGTTTTCATAGTTTCAGAATATTTTCAAATACCATGTTAAAATTGTAAGAATACTTTTCTAAGTTCAATTTTTTGACCTTCAAGTGTGGCCTAGACCTTAAAGCCGGCAAAAAGGGTAACATGGTTTTTGCACATTGCCCAGTTGAGAAGTGAAACATTTGAGGCAAAGATTAAAGAAAATCTTGTCAATTAGTGTCGGACTTACAGAGCGGACACAACATACTGTTCTAATATTTGATTTGTTTGATATTTTGATATTCAATTTGTGACCTTACCTTGAGCTGACACACATGGGCAACATGTTCAGGTGAACATTTGGGCAAGTTTGAAGAAAATCCTTGAATTGGTATAGGATTTTTAGAGCGGACTTCAGACTTCCCGAAAGTTTGAAAAAAACTGTCAGACATTCGGTCTGACAAACCATAAAAATCTGTCGGACCGAAACGAAATTGTCGGACCAAATAAAATTGATCAAAATCAAAGAATGA